TCCGATGCTCCGGTCGTTCTGGTTTTGTCAGGATCAGTGCAAGGGTGATGTTTGCTTGGCTGTCAAAATTTAGGCAAGTTAGAGAAGCGGTGCGGATGTTTTAGAACTGGTATGTATCGGTCTGAAGCGGATCTGATCCCCTTCCCCGTTTCCCCGCGCGAGAGGTGTGGAAACACGTTTCCACGCTGAGGACCTGGCAGTCGCACGTGTGGGAACGCAGATTTCTCCTACAACAACCCGGCGTCAGCGTGTGTCGTCCTGGGAGTCTGTTTTGTAAAATGTGCTGCTAGAAACAATAGATTTTACTAACAACAGCAACAACAAAAAGAATATACCCAGCGCCCGTGTATGTTCTCGCTTTCTCTACGCTGCTTTGTCTTGGTCACGTTGTTGCTTGTTTTCCTGCCTTTCCCTCTGCTTTTCTTCCGCTCTCTCTTCCTTTCCCCGTGTCTGGCTTTGCCCAAACTCTGAAACATCTCTCTGAATTTTAACTCCTTGCCTTTGCCATCACTCGTTGTTGGGGCACAGCTGCCCCCAGCACGGTTGTCCCTGGTTTGAGCTAAACCAGAACCCGTTCCGTTCAGGATTTTCACTTTTCAGCTGAAGTCTCTTCCGAGAGTCTGCCCCGCCAGCCGCAGCTGGAGGCTGGAGGCTCCCCCTGGTAGGTTGTCGGGCGGAGGTCTTCACGGTGGGCCCCCCCCCCCAGCCGCAGCTGGAGGCTGGAGCCTCCCACTGTTAGGTGCAATCACTGATTTTTATTTTTTTTTTCATCTAGCTATTGAGATACATCCGGTGTATCCATCTGGATACATCTAGTGGCGTCGTTTAACTTTCAAAACTGCAGGTTCGCTGAATAACCTTGACTTCCAAGTGTGCACATTTCCAGGAGGCTTGGAGTCAAACCCGGCACTTTTGAGTCGATGTGATATTTCTCGTTTGAGGGCGGCCTGGGGGCCGTTGGAATAACCTCGGTCTTGGAATAACCTCGGTGCCACGGTTCCTCTGCGAGCACCACCGGGTCCCGTAACCTCGATGCTGTTTGAGGTCGACGTCGCTTCCTGTATTTGGGACTTGCCGGTCGTACTTCGGCACCTCCTCTCCTGTGCATTGAGCGTTCCCGGCCTCTCGGCCCCTGGGTAACGTCGTCCCCTGTTGCTCTTTCTCTCTCCGCAGGCCTGCAAAGTGCAGAGCAACCCTGGATTGCCTTCCCTGGCTCGGTGCGGTTCCCCAGCATGCCCTCTCTTGGTCTCGCCTCACCCACCCTTGAGGAACCTGCCGCTAGGGGTAAGCCAAATCCCCCTTTCCCTCTCCCCCAGTCTTTGCACCTTTTTGTAGAGTTGTGTTTTGTGGTGGTTTTTTTTTAGCTCTCCTCTAACTCCCGCTGTTGATAAAAGAACGACTGGCAGGAAACTTTACAAAAAGGTGCAACAGCAACAAGAAAACTTTAAAAAAATTAAAATAATAATAAAAGAATAAAATTTGTTTAAAAAAAAAAAAAAAAGACACGAAACCAGACTTGCATTGTACCCCTCTAGGCAGTCTTCAGTGGG